CACACAAAATAATGTGAGAAAAGAGAAAGTGTGCAATTAAATCATTTAAATGTGTGCAACAAGTTTTGTGAACGTGAGGTGTGCGTGGGCAACAAGCATTTGAAAAGAGAAAGTGTGCAATTAAATCATTTAAGGGACGTTTAAGTGTGCAAGTAACACATCTTGTTGTTTGTACCCGAAAAGTGGTAAAATCTTTGTGTTTGTCTGTATATGTCAAAGGAGGAAGATTAATTCTTAACTTATATATATATATATATATATATATATAAAACAATACAATATATATATATATAATATAATAACTATAAAATTCAAAAGACACGGAAGAAAAAAATTATTCAAATAAAGAGATAATTTTAAGAACCACAAAATTTAGAGCATGTGCGAAGGATTAGCAGCCAGTCAGTAGTGTATAATTTTTTTTCATATATATGAAAAAAATTTAAAAAATTATTACATATATTATAGAGTGCGAGCCAACTCAGGGGGCACATGCCCCCCTTAGGTTTTCATTGGTTCCGTCCTTGTGTATATATATACTAATAATGGGTAAAGAGGAAAAGAAAATAATAATAAACCATGTTATTTACAAAATGTGGAAAAATTTCCCTCGTGTATAATAATCCCTCTTACATTTTTCAAATTGAAAAAAAAATTCAAATTGAGGCATAGTATCTTTGTTGGCGATTAAAGTTTCAATCACCGTGTATATCAAATTGTATATGTGTTTTATATATACATCACATTACATCTCTCTAAGGCATAGATATTTAAGATTGCATCTCCTACATATAATTAGATAAACATTTGTTCATTACTATAATGATCAAAACTAATGATCTATATGACTCAATAAACAAAAACAAAGAGAGAAATTTAAAGAAAAATTGTAAAGTATTAAAAAATTAAAAAATATTATAGTTTTTGTTTTAGATTTTGTACCAATCAAATTCTTATATTTGAGTACCATGAAAGTTGATATGAAAAGTTATGAAAAACTGAAAGATAAAGAAAGAGAAATTAACGTATTTTATAGAAACAAATAAAAGTAGTAATGATGTTTATTTAAGTTAAAATTTTATAATAACACGTCATATTTTTATATCTGTCGATTTTAAGTTGGGATATTAAAGTCGTTAAAAATATCATTTCCCTTTTTTTTCTTTCACCTTTTTTTAAAGGAGATTATAACATTGAAAAACAAAATTTTGAATTTGCTCAATTTGGTGTTTAAAGAAATATAGTTTTTGGTCAAGACAAATCTACTACTTTAGGTACTTGGTCAAATAAATCAGTCTATAATTTTCAAAAACAATCATCTTTATCATAATCATTACAGATGTAGAAAATTAGCTATTAATATGCTAAATTCAAATATTTCTTACAAAAAAGGTGGTCTTTCTGATCATATTTTCTTTGGCACCATCAATAACCATGATATTCACGTGAATGGAGAGGTCAAAACTTAGCTTGTTAGTTGTTACACGTAATTGCACAACTTTAAAACTTGAACTCATGACGAAGAATAGAGCCCAAAATGGGTCCAGGGGTGCTCCGGGCCATGTTGGCCCTTAATTTTTTTAGTTTTAGGTACATGATATATAAAAAATTATATAATGCCCTCCTGAAATTATATTTTTTAAAAAAAGTTGTCTAATTTTATCTTTTTCTTTTTCATTCGTACTCTTGTTTTTCATTTTTTTCCCCCTAAATTCTCGTTAAAAAACTTGTATTCCCCTTTAATAAATAAAAAGTAAAATTTATTGATCTTAAGAGAAAATATATAAAGCTTATTTGGAATTAAGTAAATCACTACGTTTTTTTTTTTTTCTTCTTTTTTTCTTTTTTTCTGTAATTAAATGCTTTAAATCACTAAGTTGTTGAGGCGTTACAGTGATTAGATTGATGTAGTGCGTGTTAGGCATTATATTGAAATTTAAAGATCATATGTTGCGTAGAAAACAAAAGTATGAGCTGTGTCTGGTTAGTTAAACATGCCGTTTTTATCTCCCTCAGTTTCAATTTTCGAGGTGGACTTTTAATATAAAACAAAGGTAATATTTTCTATAGATCTCAGTTTTCGAGGTGGGCTTTTAATATGAAACAAAGGCATGACAGGTATAGAAGGACTATGACACGTATCAGTGGTCTATGACTATGAGGTATTAGAAATATGTCAAAGCAACAATAAATCAAACACATGCAATCGGAATTAAGGGTTGCCATTCGAGAAGCTTGTATCAATTTCATATTCAAACATATTTCAATTTCTTATTTCTTTTATTCTTGAAATTACCTTTTTTAAAGTTAAAAATAATTAATTTTTGATTTCTGTGTTTGTATAGACTAAGCTGTAATTGATATGTATTGGTTATTTCATAAGGCTAATCTACAATACCTTGTTCGCATAAGCAATGGATAATATTAAATTAAAACATTTAGCTATCATAAAAGTGTTGTTAGTAAAAACATGTTAGCTGTTTGGTGATGATATAAAGCACTTTTTATACTTAAAACAGTGTTAAATTTGTTTGGTAACAATGTTACTTAAAACACTTTTATTACTAATTTTATTGTATTACTTATACAATAATAAAAATGTGCATTAGCCAAATGCAATTTCATTCTCTTAAAAATACTCTTAACAAATAAATAAATACAAAATTTTCAGATACTATGAATGTCTTTAAAAAATCTAAGTTAGAATTTTTTAGATAAATGTAATTTACAAAATATTTATAATTTAGAATATTATAAGCTAAATGTAAAATTGTGTTATAAATGTAAAAAATAAAAAATTGGGCTATAAATATTCGGAGGAGATTGGATATGAAATCAGGCTAGCAATAGTAGTCCTGACCCTATTGAAATACTTATTTTTAAATGTTCAATTTATATATATATATATATATATTAATTCTTCTTATCATGAATAGCCTTGTAATTATGAAAATGAAAGAGGGTTATATTGTACAAAAAAAAAAAATATTAGGCATCAAACTCTATTCAAACACAATTTTAAACGCTCCGATTTTTAGCTTTATCAAAATGCACATTTTATTTATTTATTTATTAAACCTATTCTCCTAAAAGTGCGTTTTTTATTTACCAAACATTGCTGAACTTTTTTCAAATTGAACTTGCTTTTACAGGCTACAAATGCAATCCCAAACGGGCTCTTGCATATGACTTATTTCTTATCAATGGAGACATGAATTCTCTGTCTCCATTATATTTAATTTTTTAAAGTAATTTTTAATAATTTCATCTGACGTTATCTTTGGTCTCCCTTTCCGTCTCTTACATTCTACCGAAATTAAATTTTATATGCTCACCATTACATCTATAGGTCTCTAGTGTACGTGCCCAAACTATTTAATTTTACTTTTTCTTGTTTTCTAGTTGATGAGTGCCATACTTTTTTGTTTCCTTACACTTTCATTTATGACCCTATCTTTTTCTTACACTTTCAATTTTACTAGTTATATCACTATATATATCTCTTCATCCTTTTGTATTATCAATTTTAAATAACAAAAGTGGTTATTTTGAATAATCGATCTTCACGTGTTATCATTATATTATAAATACTCTAATTTTTATTAAATTTAAATTTCGTATATTCTGTTTTAATAAAAAAAACTATTATTAATGTTAATTTTTTTTTAAAAAAAATGACATTAGTTGATTAAAAAGTTATCTTAGATTTAATGATCAACCTGATCAGCACGGACTTGAAACAAAATTTATTTCTTCTCTCCAATATATATATATAGGGAGGCGATATCCGCACCCTAATTTTCAACATTTGCACTACAATCTTAAATGAAATGACAATTCTAACCTTAACTTTATAAGTAAATAATTATTACTTTTTAAATAACACAACTACCCTTTCATATTTTCTTATCTCTAATCTTTAATATTTTAAGTATTTTTTGACAACACAAATAAAATAAAATAAAATAATTTCTGAAAAAAAATAAAAAGTAACTATTTAAAAAAATTATCTCTTTTCATATGAAAAAAAAAAATCCCAAAAAAATATATTTATTGAAGAAATTATCTCTGTGAAGATCCAAAAAAACAAAGTACAAAAAGAAGATGATTAAAAAATATATTTATCACTATTAAATAAATTATCTCTTTTGATAAGACCGAAAAAAACAAAAGAGGTTATTTTTATTGAATAAATTATTTCTTTTGACAGGACCTATAAAAATATTACCAAAAAATAAAGTTACCTCTTTTGACAGAATTGGAAAAAAATAATTTTGTTGAATAAATATCTCTTTCGATTGTAAAAAATAAAAAATAAAAAGTTACTATGGAATAAATTATCTATTTTGACTGTCAAAAATAAAATTATTAAGTATGGAATAGAAAAAAAAATGGTTAAAAAAAAAATTAAAGTTGTTTAAAGGGTAGTTATGACATTATAAATTAAGGAATTATTTCAATGATTTTTTTGTTATTTCTTTTAAAAATAATAATAAATAGAGTGTAATTAGAAAAAAGTGAAGTGCGAATATACAGTTTGGCAAGGAAAGAAAGGGCCTCTCTAAGCATCCTTCTTCTTCTTCTTCTTCTAGTCTGACAGTGCTCATCTTGGGTAAGTGATTCTCTTCTCTCCAATATTGAAACATAACACATAAATAAAAATGAAAATGAAAGTATCTATCAACTCCATGACTAGCTTTAGAAAACGACAACAATAACCAAGCTTTACCTTATCTTACCCCTCTTAATTTGTTCACCCAAATATTACATTTCGTTCCCACTACTATTACCATATGTACACCAAATTATTCATGAAAAAAAAAAACTTTCTTTCATCAAATATATATTCTCCATTTCTCCTGCCCAATATTATCGCCATTAGGAGATTTGAATAGAAATTTTCCCGTCAAGGACACAAAGCGGCCATATGATATGTAGAAGATAATATGATTCGATTGATGATGGATGATCATGTCCAATATTGAGGCCCCAATAATGAGCTAGCCTTGATTGTTATGGTAGTTCGGATTACTTTGGAAACTCTGTGGAGTAGTAGTAGTGCTACGTGATTGTTGTGCCATTTCCGAGCAAATCAAGGCGTCGAGGTTTGGTTGCTCGCATTGCATTGTGACAACCTCGGATTGTGCCATAGCTAATTGTGCTTGGAGCTCAATGACTTGCTTCTGAAGTTGACAAATCAATCCGGTGCATCCATAAACAGGATCTCTCACCCTCGCATTCGCCTCGTACACCATGCTATTCACTGCGTCTGCCCTCTCATACTCCGGAAGGTCCTGAGAATTAATACAAAGTAATTCCGGTAATAATAATTTTAAATAATAAATATTTTTTTTGGGCAAGTAAAATTTTAAATAATAATTGAACTGTCAAGAAAAATTAATTATATTGCTAACTAATAGTATTAAATTCTATTTACCAAAAAAAAAATAGTATTAATTCTATACAATTAAACCTGCACCTATTATTATCAACAACTACATATATATTCCTGAGCTGATCATATCAAATTAAATTTAGCTGTCATCTTATGATTAACTTGTGCATCAATCTACTACATATATATAGTATATAATTAAACCAAGTATATATACCTACTATATATGTGGACATATCACATTTATATCCTTGTCTTACTGATTTTATATATATAGAAAGTAGGTACCTGTAAGAGCTTGATGATGTTGCTGGTGCCGAAAATGCGATGAACAGTGGTGAACTTGAGTGGGTCAGTGGGAGGAAAGTATGGTGCCGACAAGCATTTGTCTGCACATTTACGCCTTAGGGTTTTACATGCAGCACAAGGGCTCATTACAACATGAGATGATGGAGTACTTACACTAGTAGCAGGAGAAGATATAAGAAAGCCAGAAGGAGAAGTTCTGTTCATGGTAATTGTTGGTCTTTTGCCACTACTCTTCTCCATCTTAGAGACCATGAAAGATACATAATATATATATATATAGAGTGAGACTTTTATAAGTTGTTGAAATGTTGAATATGAGAGCATATTATATATATAGAGTAGTAATCCCTTACTCTATGTGGAGTAAGAAAATTTTTTCGCACTTTCTATAATGACCATTAGATTAAATTTAATGGTCAAATTCTAAACCCACCTATATACTTTCATTTTGATATAAAACGCTATCACAATTTTCAGTTCTAAATTTAAAATTTATCAATACCATTAATTACAATAATAAAAGATAAGTATCAAAAAAATAAAAATAGAAATAGCTTTACCTCTGGAACCTCTCACCACCACCACTAATCGGAATTTTTGTTTTCTTTGATGTCTTTGATAATATAATAATAGGAGTATTAAAGTAAACATTAAGAAAAACAACTAATTTATAAGGAAAAATTGAAATTTCATATAATAATAGAATTTTTTGTCGTGAATCTCCTTATCACGTCAATAAATTTTTGATATTATAGTAGAACTAGAGAAAAGATTTTGTGTGACTTATTATGACATATGAGTAATTAGAATGTGTTTACAACTAGTTAGAATTTGGAATAAAATAAAACAAAATTAACAAAAAAAATAAAACAATTTGTGACAAAGGGTTAGAGAAAACTAGATTGAATTTTTAATTTTTAAATAGTATGCATTTAGGGAGGTATACAATAATTTAAATTGTAATCTATTAAATTTTTTTACGAGTGAAGTGTTGTGCAGATCACGAATTACCTTAAGTTAATCAAATGGATAAAAAAATAGAGATTTTATTTTTAATTTTTTATTATTTTTTGGTCTATGTTTTGATCGAGCGAAAGACTCAACCTAGCTAACAGCCTAAAAGAAACTGGAACTCGGCGCAGCCACACTTCCATAATGAACCCACTCCCCCTAGGTGCCTATATTAGACCGAGTATATAAATATAGATACACAATTATTCATATGCTCTCATATTCTCCTACTATTTATTAAGGGTTCATTTAGCATGCGTTTTGTAAAATAAAATAAAATCGCATTAAACATATTTTTGTTGGTAAAATCAACGCTGTAGCAGCTCAAAAACATACAAAAGTAAAAACAGTAGAAACAAAAAGTTTGCCAAACGGAGCCTAAATATCTCTCTATATTATATATATATTAAATGTATCTTTCTGTCTCTAAGATGGAGAAGAGTAGTCGCAAAAGAGCAACAAATACAATGAACTCAACATTTACTCCATCTCCATCTCATGTTGTAATGAGCCCTTGTGCTACATGTAAAACCCTAAGGCGTGAATGTGCCAAGAATTGTTTGTTGGCGCCATACTTTCCTCCCACTGAACCACTCAAGTTCATCACTGCTCATCGCGTTTTCGGCGCCGCCAACATCGTCAAGTTCTTAGAGGTACCTATTTTTTATATATTCTGTAATTAATACACTAGTTAAGATCCGTAACATTAATTGATTGTATATCTAGCTAATCAGTAACCCTAGGATGCATAATTAATTGATAATTAAGTTGGTTTTATAATTAATTAGCAAATGGTTTAAGGCTTTAAGCTAAGCATCCAATTCATCTAATTAAGGCGGAATTTCTCTGAACTAATTCTCAGGAACTTCCAGAAATTTAGAGGACAGACGCGGTGAGTAGCATGGTTTACGAGGCCAATGTCAGGCTCGGAGATCCTGTTTATGGATGTACCGGATTGATTTGTCGACTTCAAAAGCAAGTCATTGAGCTCCAAGCACAAATAGCTACTGCACAAGCCGAGCTTGCTGTCACCAACCAACAACCAAACCTCGACGCCTTTATTTTCAACGACTTCTTCATAAATTCCTATGGGGGAAATGATCGATCATCAAATTAAGTATATTATCTTCTACGTGTGGCTTTGTGTCCTTGGCGAGAAATTTTCTATTCAAATCTCATAATGGCCGGCAATATTGAGCAGGAGAGATTGGAGAATATTAATTTGATGAAGAAAGTAGATGTATGGATATGGTAGTAGGAACTAATTAAAGGTATTAATAATTGTGTGAAACAAATTAAGAGGTGAAAGATAAGGCAATGTTTGGTTAATTTTGTTATCTAAAGCAAGTCGTGGATATTTTTTTCTTTTTTTTTTTTTTTTTTTTCGGTGAGTCACGGAGTTGATAGGTCTTTAAATTTATGTAATGTTTCAACGTTGGAGAGAATAAATCAAATATTGTTCCAAATCCATACTCTTGAGCATAATTAAAAGTTGATTTCGTGTAGAAAGGTGTAATCTAATGATACTTTTATCTCATTTCGAAGTGTAAAAAAATTTTAACATTAATAATACTAATACTAGTAAATGTCAAAACTATTCTACAAATATATATATATATATACCAATGAGGCAGATAGATATATATATATATATATATATATATATATATATATATTGCATGTGTTTCGTATTGTTTTAATTTGACAAATTTCTTCTACAACAATGATAATGATTTTTAATATCTACTTTAAATTGTGAGTAGTTGTTAGGACACTCGTCTTCACTGATTGGTTGAAACTTAAAACTAATCACTGATATTGAAATGTATACTTATAAAATTATAAAATTGTCCCCACTAAAATTACAAAAAAAAAAACTCTACAATTGTTCATATCTCATGGTTTGAATTTTTTTTATCTTCTTATTTTTAAAGATCCTTCTCACATAATTTTTTGAAATTACCCCTATACAAGAATGTAATGATATAGTACAAATAATTATTAGTATGGTAATAATTTCGATTGAACCCGATTGTGTGAGTTGATCTTAACTTATATCGTTTTTCAATTTTATTTTTATTTTTCATTTATTTCTATATATTGAAATTGTGAACGGTCTTATACAAAACTCGTTTAACAAATGTGACACAGTTGAGATGACATGGTTTTGTTTTCTACCCTTGCCAGCACGCGATACGTGATCTTTAATTGACAAATATGTAGTACAGTACATCAATCTAATCACTTTAACAGCTCAACATGCATGACTATGTGAGACAAAAATATACATACAAACATACATATATATATATATACACAACCATGTATCGCGTGGTGGCAATTATCGGATATAACTTCTTCGAAAAAGAAAAACTATACAAAATTACATCGGTTGTTGAGCTGTTGAAGTGATTAGATTGATGTATCGTAATACATATTTGTCAATTAAAGATCACGCATCGCGTGGAGGCAAGGGTAGAAAACAAAACCATGTCCTCTCAACTGTGGCATGCATAACTTGTTGCCCATTTTGGTGCGAGATTATGAAAACACAACTTTTAAAAGTTTGTTTGGGCCTAGGGTTTTTTATTTATTTTTGTTTTGTTTTGTTTGGTGGCCGGGGTAATGAAATTAATTGTCAGGATGCATGTATATTGTGGTAGTAGAATATTTACAGTCAAAACTCTCTTTCAAGGAAGTCAGTGGGCAATTTGTCACTCAAACAGTTAGTTTGTTTTTTTTGTTTTTTTTTGTTTTTTTGAAAGTTAAAAGCAAGTGACAGATGGAGTAAGAATTTGAATATGACCTTTTGGCCACTCAACCAATTTTTTTTTAACTTAAATGTATGACCTTTTTTGGTTCAATACATATTTTTTTAATTTTTAATTAGAGTCACGGTGAGATTTGAACTCAAAACATTTTGCTCTGATACCATATTAGTTTTTAGATGAGATTTAAGTTTAAGACATTTTGCTCTGATACCATGTTAATTTTCAGAGTAGATGGGTAGTTAAATATATAAAGTTTTCTCTTTTTAGAGAAGAATTAATAAATTGTACAAAAATTCTGTTTGATTCACATTTTGGAAAACTTGATTATAGAAGACATGTATTTAAATAATTGTGTTTTATAATTCTCTCAAAATATTTTTCAATTTTTAAAATTATTGAGAAATGTTTTAGCTATGGTATGTTACACATTTTAAACTTTTTTCTTGGGATTAATCCAACTCACACCCACTCTGGTCAAGGCAAACACGGCCTCTAAAGTTTCCTTCTTCTTCTTTTTTTTTTGTCCTTTTATTCTTGTGGACAGATAATTCATCAAAAAAAAAAAAAGAAAAAAAAAAAAAAACATTGGAAAGGATTGATTGGATGAAAATTTTTCATCTGGAGATCCTAGTAAAAATAAAAAAATAAAAAATAAAAAATTATTTGTGAGAAAATCATATCATTGCAAATAATTAAGTAGATTATTTACAACCAAAACTCTCGTAAAAAGAATCCAATCCTCGTCACATATGGAAATAAATATGTACTTTTGATGAAATGAATTTCGTTCTAACAAAATTAATTGGTCACTAATTAACATCTTTATTGCAGTGAATATACCTTATTAGGTGATAAAAATTCCTTTAAAAAATAAATGGAGCATATATATATTAATTTCTTATAGATGTGCAATCTGTGAAGAAGGAACTGTTAGCATATAGTATCTTTCAAATATTTCTCCAATTTATCATGTAGTTTAATGATATTTCTTGTGCAACCAAAATTGAGAGAGGAAGGTTTATATTCTGGTAAGGATAAATGGGTATTTATTTTACCAATAAAAATATATATATATATATATATTCCAAAATATAAAATTTCCCAAAGTGTAGTTCATCATAACTTAAATAAAATTTAGTTAATACACTTTTTGAGTGGGCTTAAAGTGGTAATATTTGATAATTATTATTTTAGATTTTATGATAAAATGATTCCTCCCGTCAAGTCTACTCTGTCCCGCTTCATTTTGTGATGATTTTAGATAGTGGTGATTACATATTGGATTAGACATTAAAACTAATGTAATTCGAAAGTTATAATTTGATGAAAATTAAATTCAATTTGAATCGTGAAAAGATTTAACCCGATTCGTAAAATATCAAACTAGATCAAAATGGTTCGGACCGAGTTTTCTAAACAACTCAA